GTGTAGTGGGCGCCCCCGGGGGGGGGGGGGGGAAGAGCCATGGCCAACGGGCATCCATGCATGGTCACGGCAGGGTCAAGCTGGACATAGTCCAGGGACAGGTGGGACATGGGATGGGGTGCAGGGCTCATAAATGGGCCAAGGTGACTAGGGGAGAAGGGTCCAGAAGCTGCAAGGAGAGCAGGGAGGGGTCTGCGGTCTAGGGCCATGCTATGGGGTGGCCAGGGTCGGCCTTGTCTCTTTCAGGGTGCCCTTGCCCAGCTTGTGCCCCACGTGTGGGATGACAGACGCTCAGAGCCTAGCCCACCATCCCTGGCTCTCCTTGGGACCTCCAAGAGGGCCCCTGAGGGGCCAAGAAGCCAGAGCCCAGTCTGGTTCAGTTAAAAACCCACAAGGCTGACCTACCCATCAGACAGTGCCCGCTGAGGGCCACACAGGGCAATAGAACCCAGGGCTCCTGGGCAGGCGACACAATGGGCAGACCCCGTGTGGAAGGTGCTAGGCTTCAGGCTGGGAAGAGTGTCAGAGACTCCCCTAGAGGTTTTGGGGACACTTTGCTCTCAGGCTATCAGCCCCTCTGCCCACTCGCGAGAGAGAGTGGCTTACCACCCAAGGTCTCCAGCCGCCCTGGGTCTCCTCTCCCTCTACCCCACCCCCACTCCAGACTGAAACCCGACCAGGCGCTGCCGGGAGTCAGCCAAAGCCCATGCTGTCTGGGGAACATCTGTTCGGTCACCATCTGTAAGCTGCCTGGAGCCCCTCCTGCTCCCCTGGTCACCGTGGCCCGGCCTCCCAGTGTCTGCCAGCCGTAGATGGCCCCCAGCACCCAATGACTACTGGCAGGGCCCACCCTGAAGCTCAGTCACTAGGACTACCCCAGTATGGCAAAGGCCAGCTCCTGCCTCCGTGAGGACAAAAGTGCACTCCACCCTAGGAGGACAGAAAACAGGGGAAGGATACCCCAAAGGACTTGAGAGACCTCTAGCGGAGAGAACATGAGAATGAGAAGGGCCTCATCCTGCCCTAAGGGAGGCCTAGTCTGGGGAGACCCCCCACCCCTGCAACGATCCTGAGAGATCTGTCACCTGCGGAGCCAGGCAGGGCAGCTTCTCTGTCAGGGGAAAGCTCTTACAGCCAGTGCTGGCCAGAGCCGCTCGCCAAGGCCACGGCCCGACATCACATCTTCCACAGCTCCGGTGACACAAGTCTCACCCAGCTTCACTCAAATCCACACCTGGCATCTCAATGCATTTTCTTTTCTTTTCTTTTCTTTTTTTTTTTTTTTTTTTTTTTGAGAGGTTTTTGCTATAGGGGGTGTGTGCTCGCCAGAGAGCCCGAGAGAGACAGAGAGACAGAAAGCGAGAAATCACCCCCCAGGGGGGATGGCCACGCTGCAATCCCTTCTCCTCCATTCTCCTCTTGGGATCTTGGGCACGCACGCACATGTGCCTGGCGTGTTTAAGCCTCCGGGTCCAGGAGTGACACCGCGATCAATTACATGGGAGTCCAGTGACATAGCCATTACGCTAACTGCTGGTCCCTCAGTGCGTTTTCTTAAGAGACTTTGAGGTGCTGGATGCCCACAGGGCTGACAGCGTTTTGAATCCTGGACCTGGCAGCTCGAAAATCATGCAGGAAGCATGTACCTGCATGCCCCAAATCCAGAGAGGAGAATGGAAAGGGGTGCAACTTCTCACTTTTCCTCTCAGTCTCTCTCTGTCCATCTCCGGCAAGTGCACACACCCTGTGGCCAATTCCTAAAAAAAAGAGAGACAGACTCTGGAAGCCAGTGGGCAGACAACTCTGACCTTCTGCTGGCCAGGTGCATCAGGGCCTCGAGATTCCTAGGAGAGAGGGCAGGGAAGAGGTGGCCAGAGCCTGAGCCTGAGCCTAGTCCAGCTCCCACTTCTCAGAGACCGGCCAGCCACTTCTCCCAAGGCCACCCAGATGAAGCCCCAGGAGGGTGAGGACACGGGGTGGGGGACCATGCCGTGCACAGGGAGGAGGCACTACTCAGTTATGTGAGCAGGACGCTGGCCTGGCCAGGTGCATGGATCACTCCCAACACAGCCTCCTAGCCGACACTCAGCACCCGATGCCCCTGGCTGCGGCCTCCTTGTGAACACCTGGCTTAGAAAACCCAGTCCGGGGACTGGCGGGTGCGTGAAGGTTAAGGTGCTGGACACTCTCACATCTGACCACGGTGAGTCCCAGACCTGGTGACTTGCTTTCTCCCTTTCCCTTTCTCTCTGGTCAAATTAAGACCAGGGAATGAATAAGTAAAATTAAATTTTAAAAACTCATTCCTTAAAAAAAAGAAAGAAAATCACTTCCAACTGAGAGGTGCTGGTGACAGGACCTGAGGATCCCAGCCTCGCAGCCCCAAGTTCCTACCCAGCAGTGAGGCCTACAGGGGCTTCCCCAACCGCCGTGGTTCTGGAGACACGGAGGCACATGTATGTGAACACACAGAGGTACCCAGGCCTACATACGTACGTGGACACAGAGGCAGGAACACCAGTGTAGAGGAAAAGAATGCACACTTTCTTGTTTAACAAAATAAATTAAATATATGAGGCTTCAGCTCAAACTCTATATAAAATTACAGAGATCTGGGGCCACCACCAGTAGTGGGGTCGTGGTGTCTGGCCCCAAGGGGATATGGACGTCCAGCATGGCCACAAGGCCAGGTGAGTCCTGAGCCCCAGGAGAGGCCAGTCCCTGCGACCCGCCCTCCTTTCATTATTAATTATTATCTTAATTTCTTAAATATAAATATCGAGGCCCCTTCTCTCTGGCAGTGGGGGCCGGGCAGGGGCTGGGACTGCTGTGCCTGGCCGCCCTGGCCCAGTGTAGTGTAGACTCCTGACACTCAGGGCAGGTGGCAAAAACAGCCACCAAGGCTAGACAGGGACACCGGCGGGGACACGGCCTCTGTGAACACTCCTCGCAGTGGGGCGGGGGGCGGGGGTTAGATTCCTTCATCGACTAGCCTGTCGCTACACGTGCACTGCAGAGTCACACAGCACAGACGTCCTGCAGGCCTCGGTCCACGTGCGTGCGCGCGTGCGCTTGGCTGTATGTCTGCATCTGTGCGTGTCCAGATGTGAGTGTGCCTCACTCAAAGCGCCACCTGCGCCTCCTGGCCAGTGGGTCCACCTGCCTCTGTCGCCCTCCAGCCTATCCTTCCATCCGCCCGAGGCTGCCCGTGCCACCCCAGGGCCCCCGGGGCTGAGAGGCCACGGCATCTAGCACTGATAGTGGACGTGCTGGAGCTGGTGGGCCTTGCCCTCCACGTGTGAGTGTGTGTGTGAGTGCATGTGCGTGTGCGTGTGGACGTCTGTGTAGAGTTTGGGGTACAGCTTGGGACCAGCAGCTGAGCCTGGGCCCAGCAGGTGCTGGGGGGCTGCCGAGTGCTCTTCACACAGTCCTGCACCAGGGGCAGTGCCAAGGGCAGCCGAGGGTGACAGGTCCTTGTCCACACCACGGTCACGAGTCACCCCAGGTGGGCGATGCCCGGGCACAGGAGGGGCAGGTACGGGGCTGCATGGCTTCTTCTTGGCCTGGCAGAGCCATAGGAGCATTGTCCCCAGGATGAACACGGCACCAGCCGGGATGCCAATGACCACAGGCCACGGCAGGCTAGTGGTCGAGGATGAAGGGGCCACAGGTGGCCCAGGTGGCTTTGGGTCTGCAAGAAAGAGCAAGGAAAGAGGGTAGGCATGGGAATGTCACCACAGGGCTGGGAAGCACACAGAGGGGGCGGTCCCCACCCTAGCCACTCAGACCCGGGGCCCCCAGGTGAGGAGGGCGGTAGGAGCGGGAGCTGGGGAGGGGCCACATACCTGGCAACACCGTGAGGAAGGCACTGCGGAAGCTGTAGCCCATGGTGTTGGCACCCAGGCAGATGTACATGCCCGCGTCGTCCTGGCGGGCACGGGTGATGAGCAGCTTGTTGAGGTAGGAGCCATCAGGCCGTGACCACACGTCACCCGTGGGCAGGACCACGAACTTCTGGCCACCCACATCGATGGTGGCATTGTGGCGGCCCTCAGCACCATACTCTACTCGCTTCAGCCACTGGATCACGGGCTTCACGTCACTGCGAACCTTGCACTGGAAGGACGTGGTGCCACCGAAGTCCACGGTTGTGTTCACAGGGTGCGTACCCGTGAGCACAGGCTTGGAGCGGGTCCGCTCTACGGCAGAGACACAGCATGGTGGCAGGGCTCCCAGGCCTCTACACCCCTCCACCCGCCCGTCCCAACCCGACACTCACGGATCACATCCACCTTGTAGGTGGCGTTGATGGCGCCCGCCCGGTTCGACACACGGCAGGTGTACTTGCCGCTGTCCTCGGGCCGCAGGTTCTTCAGGCTCAGCGTCCACTTCTTCTTCCTGTGCTCGCTGGCCTCTGGGCGCGTCAAGGCCTGGTCATCCTTCATCCACGTGATATCAGGCCGCGGGTGCCCGCTGGCCACACACTTGAGCCGCACGGAGCTGCCCACTGGCCGTGCAATCACCCGGCGCCTCATCTTGGACGGCTGTGTGAAGCGGGGCCGTGCTGCAGGGCAGGGCAGCACAAGGTCAGGAGGAACGGGTCCGTGGGGTGGCGGGAGAGATGGTCACCACCCCATCCCAGGACAGTAGCGATCCCCTGCCCCCATCCATGCTCACCCCACTGCTGGCCAGCTGGGTCCTCTTGTCCCCCAGAGGAGCCATCAGACCCTGGGCTGTTCTTCCCTGGGGAGATGTCATCTGCAGCGAGGAGGAAGATCAGAGAAAAGGCAGGTGAGAGGCACCCTGACGAGCCCTTGTCAGACCCTGGCATGGCCCCCACTTGGACGACCCTGGACACCCAAGCGAAAGGCCATGGGCACGCTCCTACATCTCAGAATCCCAGGGACAGCTGGGCAAGCTCTGCCTGCCCAGCCCACTCCCGGGTGCAGGTGACCCCATGAGGCATGGGTGGAGCTAGAGGGCACCCTCCCACCCCGGCTCCAGGGGGTCTACAGGACTAGGGCGAGGAGGGGGCCGGGCCCACCAGCAGCTGCGGTAACCCTAGCCCACATCAAGGGGCCGAGGGCTTGGTGAGTAGACATGGCCCGCATACCGACTGGTCATCATCCCCTTTGAAAGACTCGGGGCGGGGGGGCAGCACAATGTTCCCATTCCACCATCCAGAGAAGGCCCTCAGGGCCCTGAATCGGGCAGAGCCAGGGGCAGAGCATGCCAACAGATATCCCCCCAACCTCCCTGTGAGTCACCTCCTCCACAGAGCCTGGGACCCAGTGGGGATGGGGGTCAGTCCCCTCCATGGTGAAATGGGTCAGCCTGACTCTCAGGGAGTCCCCCAACAAGGGCCCCACACCCTGGGAGCTTGGAGGGGAGGGGTGGGGCATGTGCCTAGTACCAGCGTGTGGCGGGTGTGTCACTGGGGACACCTGTCCATTCCCCAACGCCCGGGCCCCAGGGGCAGAGGAGAACAGAAAGGCCATCCGCTTCCCGGCGGCCTCTCTGAACTCTGAAACCTGAGCCTCAAAGTCACGGCCGACGCCAAGGCATATACTGCCAAGGCCACAGGCCTCACCCAGCCCGCCCTGCCCGGGACCACCGCCTGGGGCCTCCCCAAACCTACTCTTGCCTCTGCAGGAGGAAAGGGGCTCCAAGGCAGGGACCTGAGGTAAGGGTGGGGCCTAGGCTGCCCTGGAGAGACACAGGCTGGGGGGCGGTGACAAAGGTCAGACCTCTCCTGGATCTCCAGGCCCCATGGGCTAGGCACGGGCTAGGCACAGGCTACGCGTGGGTGGAGACAATGAAAGGTCTATGGTCTTTTGAGTCTATTGAGTCACCTGCCTCCCCACCCTGAGGTCCCAGTATGCCACTGGCTCTGACGGGTGTGCTAACTGACCCATCACGATCAGGGTGTAGTTGACGCTGAGGCTGCCGAAGCCGTTGGTGGCCTTGCACACGTAGACACCAGCGTCCTCAGGCTCCACTTCCTTCACCTTCAGCCCCTGGGGCAGCACACGGAAACGGCTCCAGCCCCCGGGGGTTTTGGGGCCCTCCTTGTGTCA